GAGTTGATTCAAGTATAACGGATACCTGTAGGACTTAGAGAAAATCCTAAGGTCAGAAACTCCAACGTGTAGAATCAGCTGCCGTAGCCTTTCAACTTAGACGTTAAGATAAACGAAAATAAACCCAGTGATAATATATATAAGAATTAGATTATATTATAGTAATAAAAATATATTAACATAAAGAACACAAATATCAAGAAAGACTTAAAGATATAGTTAGAACATAAAGAGATATAAGAAAATAATAAAAGCATTAGGTTATATATGATATTTAGATTATAGTATTTAGATTATATATATAATTAGATCACATCATTTAGATCATATACTGTATTTAGATTATATGTGATATTCAGATTATATATGATATTTAGACTATATGTGATATTCAGATTATATGTGATATTATAATCTAGGATAAATGGAATACCATATGTGATATAATTATATCATATGTGATATCCTATTAGGCTTCATATTTAGGCCTCAGAATATACATTTTTTGAGTTACACATTTTAACAAACTATTTACATTCTTATAAAAACTAAGCATAAACGAAGGAAATTAAAACCTTCTGGTGAAATATTGAATTAGAAAAAAGGAAATAGTGGTAAATAAAGCTATTAAGCAAAAGAAAATGGAGATAGAACTGGCAACAGTCTATAGTATTTTAATATGATAAGTCATTACAAAATATTAAGTATATGAAATTTATATAGTTTATAAGTACAATTTCCTGCTAATAATTTCAAAATGGGAAATATTATATATATGATCTAATACAAATCACAAATAAAATATGTATTAAACTTGCATACTTACAAGTAATTACATTTTGAATTTTTAGATATGAAGTATTGTTAGGGTTATCAATACTGCCAAATTAAGTCAAATATAATTTAATATTTTAGTTTAGTTTCAAAAAAATATCTTTTAATCCTAGATGTATTAGACAAGTATTCCGCCAGGTAAAAACTTATATTTAATAGTGTAAATATATTAAACTTTACGTTTTTAGATATAAAGAAAATGAAAAAAACTGAATGGCAAAGGATTTACTTAACATTCGTCAATTGTACGAGATATATGCCTATAATTATATCAATTACATTACAGATTAACTTTAAGAACAGAATAGTGAGACTGTCAATTTCGCTTATGAGAAAAAAAATTGATAAATTCATTGTGAACTGTGATGAATAGGTTCTGAACTATTTGGATAAATTTGACAAAGTGGGTGATTTGGAAACTTTAAAAAAGTATTTGACTAAAAATAATATAGATATTTTCACTGCATTAAATGATATTATCTATGTTCAGAATCTATTTTATCACTTTTTTTTCTATTTAAGAATGACTTTTTAATTCAAAATATGTCAGAGTATGAATTTAACTCTTATATTTTAATGTCATTATTGAGGAATGTATTTTTAGGAAAAAGTGATCTTAAGCTAAATTATGGGGAATTAACACTTAGTTCATATAAAAAACTAAAAGGACTTTTAGACATCAGTAACCATAATTCACTAAAATTAGACAGAAAAGGCTTTCTCAAGTCTTTGGAACTGAAATCTTAGCTCAGGAGGATGGTGTCTTAAATACGAGAGATAAAAGGCGATTTACAAAAATTAGAATATTGTTCAAAAATTATATTAACAGCTCTGTTTATTATATTATCTTCTTCCGCTAAAGCTATTATTACAAACATTGAAATATATAGCATACAATCGAATGGATTTCGTTTGGCAATTTCAGCTTTAAAGTATCTGTTTGAAGATATTATTATAACGACGGACCTGCAAGATGTGGAAGTCCTGAGGACTATTGAGGGGTTTTCAAATCTAGTAATAGTTATAAAAGTAATCTTATCTTGAAAGGCACGTACTAGAAGAAATACAATGGCGTTCTACAAAGCATTAAAGATAGGTTATAAGTGTATAACAAATGATGTTAATTTTTCATCAAAAAAAATATCTTTAAGACAGGATCAGAATTCTGCATCTAGTCTGTAATGCCATCATATTCTATTTTTTTCTGTATTATTTTAGCATTTATTGAAATCATTTTAATAAAGTTTTATGGCTATTGTTAAATATTGATGTATAACTATTACATATTTTAACTAGTACAATATATCCATGGGGTGGTATTATTTTTTAACAGTTTGCGGTGTGTAAGAAAAAGTTTTAAAATTTCAGGAAAAGTGATGTATTCGGTCGTGACGTCGATGGGAAATAAAATCACTAAGCTCTGTATATGGCCTGTGTCTTGAAAGTGATCGGGCGTTTCGAAATTTTAAATAAGTCACGCACTGGAGCTAAAGTAATATGGTGCTTTTTATTTATCATCTGAAATTGGAAGGATCTGAGGATCGGTAAAGGTTTATAGATGAAATCTTTTTAATATCAAAGTTAAGCCAAGATGATATAAACCAAATATTAGTCAAGTTTGCGAAATAATTTACTGCGCCAAATTTTAAAGCCGAAGTTTTTCCATGTTTTAGACATGTATGATTTAAAATAAGATCAAGACGTGATTTTATTTTTATTTTCAAGCTGTAATTTGAACACTAGTCAAAGAAAATAAGAAAAGGAATTTTAAGTAATGTAGTTCAGCGAGTATTTTAATTAGTTTTCATGGGACGCATTTTTTTTTTTTAATAAAAATTCATATCCTTTAATATTAAAATGTGAAAATAATACATATAATATTTTTATTCGTTAACATTTAGAAAAATGTTTCAAGAAAATATGAATGTTTGCGTATGTATGCATAATTAATATTTGTGAAATTAATTTATTGAAAGAAATAAACCAAAAATAGTTTTTCTTTGTCTAATTTCTTTAACAACTGATTGAATAATAAGTTGTAATTAAAGTACACTTGCGTAATGTAAAATCTCACCCGATTAAAGCTTGCTACAAATACTTTGAATTCATAGAAAATCAAATACAAGCATTTACAAGCGAATCGAAACGGAAAAAAGCGTCTCGAAGAGCAAAAATTAAAATTATAATGTAACAATAATTATGATCTAATTGCGCCAAATTCAGATAATAAGAAAGTTGCAATTCATCATCATCAACTCATTATTCATAGTCTTTTTAGGAAGAGTCGAGATTCTTTTTACCATAAGCAGATTAAATACTTCAGAGGTTGAAATTATCATATTTTACAACAAATAATTTGTATTTCTCTTCGTCATTTCAACTTTACAACTGTAAATTATCTTCAAACTCTATATATATATCCTTAACTGGTCGACCCTTCTAGTTTCAACTTCTACTAACGAAATAAAGTATTAGTAAATAAACCTGAAATAAGCTTATTTTAGTCTATAGCATGTCTACCTAGACTTTTTCAATGCGTCGCATTTTGACTTACGCGAAGCGTTAATAAGATATGCTATTCTACTCAAAGAATATATCTGAGATTTGTCGTATTTATTTATTTAATGATTTATAAGGCGTTTAACTATTTATTCAAGAAAAGGTGGGGTGATGAAAATATCTCATGATTATTAGAAATACTTAAGGGTAAATGATGAAGTTTACTTTCCGAATTTGAAAACTATTGTGTTTTTTCACGCAAATTCAAAGAATATAATTTACTAAATTAATTTTTCTCAAAATTCTTCTTTAAATAATCGATGACAT